GAAAAGGACAATACAACAGACAAACCTCTGGGACACGCTGAAAGCGGTACTTAGAGGGAAGTTTATAGCCCTAAGTGCCTACATCAAAAAATCAGAAAGAACACAAATAAATGACTTAACATTGTGTGGGAGACAGGCTTGAGCCTAGGGTGAAAGTCTTATTGACAGCCATACAGCAGGCCTGAGGCAATGGCCCGACCACTGGAGCCACAAGGAACGCCTAATGACATTTCCTCCCATTGGCAGATCATGAGACTGATGCCTAGAGCTCGCCACTCCCTAATCACCACCCTCAGAATTCCAAATTGCAACACTTAGATATTGCAACTGTCAGGGTTACATGGTTTCCAGGAATCCAGGCTCTGTAATCTGAAACCCATTATGCTAATGAGGCATCCTACATGCTATTCTGTGATAGGACATTAGGTCCACAGATAGGATGCTAATAGGATGCTAAGTCTGTTATGCTAATAAGATATCCTACTTGATGTACTGTGATAGGACCCTAAACCTGTTATGCTAATAAGGTATCCTACTTGCTGTGCTGTGATTGGACCACTACCCCTATATAACCTTGTGCCTTCCTGCAAAAAAACCAGACCTGTGTCACTGAACATGGTCTCCTGTGTCTGAATGTGGCTCTGCAGACACAGTCTCCTCACCAGCCCTGGGGTTCGGGACTGGGCAGAAGTCGTGATGACAGGAGGCAACACAGGGCAAGCAGAAGCAAGCAGAAGAGCGGCCTCAGCCCAGGGCAAGCAGAAGAGCAGCCTCAGCCCAGAACAGGCAGAAGAGAGGCCTCTGCCCAGGGTGAGCAGAGGAGCAGCCTTGACGCCTGTGAGAACAAAGGAGTAGAGCCCGTGAGAACAGAGGAGCAGCCGCCACTGGCAGTGACTGCAACATTGCAACTCAACACACTAGAAAAGCAACAGCAAATGAAACCCAAACCCAGCAGACAAGAAGAAATAACAAAAATCAGGGCAGAAATTAATGAAATTGAAACAAAGAAAACAATACAAACAATCAACAATTCCAAGAGCTGGTTCTTTGAAAAGATAAACAAAATTGACAGACCGCTAGCACAGTTAACCAAAAGAAAGAAAGAGCACCTCCAAATCAGCAGAATCAGAGAACCAAGACAAGAAGCAACCCAATTATAAGATGGGCTAAGGAGCTGAACAGAGAGAGAGTTCTCAAAAGAAGTAGTAAACATGGCTATGAAACATCTTAAAAGATATTCAACATCACTAATACTTAGGGAAATCAAAATTAAAACCACTTTAAGATTTCACCTTACCCCAGTCAGACTGACTAAGATCAAGAAAACAAATGATACCAAATGTTGGAGAGAATGTGGGGAAAGGGGAACACTCATCCACTGCTGGTGGGGCTGCAAACTGGTTCAACCCCTATGGAAAGCA